GAAGAATAATATGGAAAGTTACATTACTACATGTAAAATAGATAGCCAACGGGAATCTACTGTATGCTCAGAAAACTCAAACACGGGCTCTATATCAACCTTGAGGGGGTGGGATGTGGAGGGAAAATAAATAAATAAATAAATTTAAAAAGTAAATAAAGTGTATTATGCTGTAATACTTTCTCAGACTTAGCCTTTAGTTATTTCTATACCTTTTTTCTATGTCATTTGATCTCTTCCTCACTGGGTTCACAGAGCAATTACTGTTCTTCCTATAGACCACAGGAAATGGAGTTCTTAACCACAGTTATCTGAACAGTTACTCTCTGAAGGAAATACGGCATACATTTCCTTCAATATTCAAAATCGCACTTGCAGATAAGTAGGATTTTTTAAATCTTAATGAAGTATAAATTATTTTTTTGTTTCATAGAACATGCATTTGGTATTTATTGAAAATCATTGACAAGTGCTGGATGTCATCTCAATATTTTCCTATGTTATCTCCTAGGAGTTTCCATTTTTAATTTTACACATAAGTCTGTAATCCATTTTGAGTCAACTTTTATGAAAAGTGTAAGGTATGTGTCAAGATTCATTTTTGCATGGGTATATCCAGTTGTTCCAGCGCCACATGTTATGAATATTACCCTTTTTCCATTGAACTGCATTTGCTCCTTTGTCAAAGGACTATATTTTTCTGAGTCTATTTCTGGGGGTTTTATTCTTTTCTAACAATCTATGTGTCTATTCTTCCACCAGTACCACATACCCTGATAGATGCAGCTTTATAGTAAGTCTTGAAGTCAGATGTGTCAGTCTCCCAATGTTGTTCTTCTCCTTCAATTTTGTGTTTACTATTCTGGGTTTTTGCCTTTCTAAATAAACTTTAGAATCAGATTGTCAATTTTGTTTTACAAATTTACAGAAAAAACAAGTGAAAAATAGAAAGTTCCCATATACCCTTTCACTAGTTCCCATACATTCTTCTCCTACTCTTAATATTTTGCATTGAATAGTAAGTTTTTAATTTGAAACTCTAATTATTCATTGCTGATACTTAAGAAAGAAATTACCTTTTTTGTGTTAATCCTTTTTTAAACTAGTACTTTTATAGTATAATCCAATATTCTGTCTTACAAGCTTGCTATCATTGCTCACTATTGCCAGGAGACATTTTGTTAATTCTTTGTAATTCTCTACATAGACATTTTGTTTCTTTCTTTGTAATCTAAATATAGCTTTTGTTTCCTTGTCTTTGACATAGGGTATTAGCTAGGACTACAGGTACAATGTTGAATAAGGTGGTGAAAGAGAGGCCATCATATCTTTTTACTGATCTTATGGAGAAAATACCTGGCTTCTCAGATTTGACTATGATGTTGGTGGTGGTACTTTAGTCGCTAAGTCATGTCTTGCAACTCCATGGACTGTAGCCCACCAGGCTCCTCTGTCCATGGGATTTTCCAGGCAGGAATATGGGAATGACTTTCCATTTCCTTCTCCAGGTGATTTGCCCAACACAGGAATCTAACCATGAGTTTTTTGTAGATATTCTTTTCTAAGTTGAGGACGTTTCCCTCTATTTTTCATTTGCTAAGAGTTTTTTTTAGCATGAATGTATGTTGGAATTTGTCAAATACTTTTTCTGCATCTATTGACTTGCTGCATCTATTGACCCCATGAACAATATGAAAAGGCAAAAAGATAGGACACTGAAAGATGAACTCCCCAGGTCGGTAGGTGCCCAATATGCTACTGGAGATCAGTGGAGAAATAACTCCAGAAAGAATAAAGGGATGAAGCCAAAGCAAAAACAATACCCAGTTGTGAATGGGACTGGTGATAGAAGCAAGGTTCGATGCCATAAGAGCAATATTGCATAGGATCCTGGAACATTAGGTCCAGGAGATCTTCCAGACCCTGAGACTGACCTGGGTCTCTTTGCAACTCCTACATTGGCAGGCTATTCTTTACCTCTGTGCCACCTGGGAAGCCCATCTTAGTATCTAGAAAACTCTAATGATTATACACATACAAAAACTGTTACAAATAATAAATGAATTCAGCAAAGTCTCAGGATCCAAAACCTACAAAAATCAGTCATGTTTCTGTATCTTAATAATGAACCATCTGAAAGGAGTCTCTCTTTTTTTTTTAATGGACTCTGACAGTCTTTTAACAAGTGTGTTCAGAATATAAATATTTAATGTGGTTACTGATACAGATTATTACCTATCATAGTCATCTTTTTTCTATTCATTGCTTTTGATTTGTGTTTCTTTTTTGTCTTTCACTCTTTTTCTCTCTCCTTTGGTTTTAACAGAGTACTTTGTATAAATCTATTTTCTCTTCTGTCTGAGCATACAGTCAGTTATATTTCTTTTTTAAAACTTCAGTGGTTGCCCTATAGTTCACAGTATACATTTCCAACTAATTCAAATCCACCTTCAAATAATATTACACTGCTTATTTAGAAGTTCAAGTACCTTATAACAGAATTTTCCTAATTCCTTCCTTCTCTCCAACCAACATTGCATCTTTCATATTACCTATCTATATGCTAAAATCACCAAATTGTTGCTATTTTTTGAACAAACTTTTATTAACAGCTAAATTAAGAAAAAGCAAGTAAGACTCAATATGCTTTGCTTGTTTCTCTAGTGTTCTTTATTTGTATTTGTGTTTCTGACCTATATGTCTTTCTTTCTGAAGACCTTAAACATTATTAAGGCAGGTCTACTAGCAACAAAGGTCCATCTAGTCAAGGCTATGGTTTTTCCAGTGGTCATGTATGGACATGAGAGTTGGATTGTAAAGAAAGCTGAGCACCAAAAAATTGATGCTTTTGAACTGTGGTGTTGGAGAAGACTCTTGAGAGTCCCTTGGACTGCAAGGAGATCCAACCAATCCATCCTAAAGGAGATCAGTCCTGGGTGTTCATTGGAAGGACTGATGCTGAAGCTGAAACTCCAATACTTTGGCCACCTCATGCAAAGAGTTGACTCATTGGAAAAGACCCTGATGCTGGGAGGGATTGATGGCAGGAGGAGAAGGAGACGACAGAGGATGAGATAGCTGGATGGCATCACTGACTCGATGGACATGAGTTTGAGTAAAGTCCAGGAGTTGGTGATGGACAGGGAGGCCTGGCATGCTGCGATTCATGGGGTTGCAAAGAGTCGGACATGACTGAGCAACTGAATTGAACTGAACTGAACTAGCAACAAATTCCTTCAAACTTTGTTTGAAAAGATGTTTACTTCTCCTTAATTGCTAAATGGAACAAAGAATGCATCTGCATAATTTTGTCACTGAAGTAATTTATATAAAGAGAAGAGTTCAGTCTCTTGTTAGAGAGTACCTCACAAGAAATGTCCGGTTCCATTGTTGGCTGGGCTCCAATCCTTTGGTGAGAAGGTGACTGAAAAACACAAAGCTCAAGTGTCTGTGGAGCTCTCTGAGATGCAATGAAACCATAAACCTTAGTACACCCTTGGTCTCAGAATGACAGACTCTCTAAATAGAGCAAAACAATAAACAAAACAATAAATGAGAATTGGAATATTTCCTGTTGTATTAGTAAACAAAGTATGTCAAAGTCATCAGCGATCGCAGTAACTGCAGATGGTGAGCTGATGATCCTTGAGGGAACTCAAGAAAGAAAGAATACTTGCCACCGAGGAGCCTCCAGACTGCACCCACTCCCTATGTTGAGCCCTGAGAAAACTCAGGATGTGATGACACAGGACACTGGCCCCAGATAGGTGAGGCGCCTATCAAAGGAATCATTTCAGTGAACCCAGACTCTTGCATCTTCCCATATATAGAAAAGTGCTAAATTCCTTAAGATATCTGGTTTTAGTTTAATTAACAATAAGCTTTTGCCATTCAGACTACCTGAGCAACTACCAACTCCTCTGAGCAGTTCTCTTACTGTTACTTGAAATGCTGCCACTCTAGCTGGTGACTGCAGCCGTGAAATTAAAAGACGCTTGCTCCTTGGAAGAAAAGCTATGACAAACCTAGACAGCATATTAAGAAGCAGAGACATTACTTTGCTGACAAAGGTTCGTCTAGTCAAAGCTATGGTTTTTCCAGCAGTCATATATGGATGTAAGAGATGGACTATAAAAAAAGCAGAGCTCCAAAGAATTGATTCTTTTGAACTGTGGTGTTGGAGAAGACTTGCGAGTCCCTTGGACTACAAGGAGATCCAACAAGTCAATCCTAAAGGAAATCAGTCCTGAATATTCATTGGAAGGACTGATGCTGAAGCTGAAACTCCAATACTTTGGCCACCTGATGTGAAGAACTGACTCCTTGGACAAGACCCTTATGCTGGGAAAGATTAAAGGAAGGAGGAGAAGGGGATGGCAGAGGATGAGATGCTTGGATGGCATCAACGACTCAATGGACATGATATGAGCAAGTTCCGGGTGCTGGTGATGGACAGGGAGACCTGGCATGCTGCAGTCCATGGGGTCACAAAGAGTCGGACACGACTGAGCAACTGAAATGAACTGAACTAACTTGAAGTCCTAAACTTCTCATGGAATAAAACATAACTCTCCATGTTTAGGTTGTGAGTATTCTTTCAGTGGACACAAGAAACCTCCCAGCCTAGCCTTTTCTCAGATCCAAGTACGTTCTCCAGGGAAACCCATGCCTGACATCTAGTGGGTAGCAGGCAGGCTGGGCTCCAGCCCAGAGAAGGACAGATAACAGGTGGGGGAAGGTTGGGGCGAGAGGAGGAGGAGGCAGGACCTCAGGAAGAACAAGGAGAGGTACGGTGGACCCGGTGCCACATGGAGCCAGGGGTGGGGCTTAGCTGAGCTCTGGGGGAAGGGAAGAGCAGTGGTGGGAGGAGGCAAGGGCGGGGTGAGACAGTAGGATGGGGCGGGGCCTGGGAACACGGCTGAGAGCCCACAGGCACAGAGCCTCGGGGATTTGCCGCTCAGAGCACAGAAGAGGGACAAGACATCGCAGCCATGTTGGAGGTACTGGGCTCCCTGGCGGCGGCCCTCTGGGCGGCTCTGCGTCCTGGCACTCTCCTCCTGGGGGCTGCCGCTTTTCTCTTCTTTGCTGATTTCCTCAAGAGGCGGCGTCCAAAAAACTTCCCGCCAGGGCCTGTGGGCCTGCCCTTTGTAGGCAATTCGCTCCAGCTGGACCCTGAGAAGGTGCACCTGACGCTTCAGCAGGTAGGAGCGGGCGAAGGTGTCAGAACCGCGACCTGACTCTACCTACAGGACAAGGGCCATTCCGGGTACCGAGGACCGGAGCATGGGGGTTTCTGAAGCTAAATCGGGAACCGGGTACACCCTGCTTTGAGCTTCTCTGTCCTCACCATCAACCGGAATGATTCCAGCTGCGCTTTCTAGGGGTGAACTATTGTTAACTGTTTACTATTTCAGTGTCCCGACACGATCTGCTTTGGGGGAGGTAGGGGCTGCAGGTTTATTGTACAAAACAAAAAGTGTTTCTTGATCCATATAGCTGATGGAAAAAAGTGTAAATATTGAACTGTAGCTCTCATCTGAAGCCTCACATACTTCCAGGAGCTTAAATATCTGCGTATTTTCTCCCATGTCAGGGATCCTTGGATAGAATATGGTTCAGAATCCCCTCTGAATGCTCACTAAATGTTTTTGACTGACCAAGTGACTCTTTGTCTCTTCTGTTTCTTTTATTAGAGTCTGGAGTGTGACGACACAAGTTTTAAAGTCATTTCAAAAAATAATAATAAAATAAAGTCATTTTGTTGTGTCTGGTTACATACTACTGGGACATTCTATTTATAGTATGATCACTTGTCTTTTCAATAATTTTATTCTTGATGTGGGTAGGGGTGAATGCTATACTTCCCCTCTTGGAGGTTCCGTTTTCCATATGTAAAATGAGGATGTATGTGCATGTGTTTAGTCACTCAGTCATATCCAACTCTTTGTAATCCCATAGACTGTAGCGCACCAGTGTCCTCTGTCCGTGAGATTCTTTTCAGGCAATAATACTGGAGTGGGTTGCCATTTCCTTCAGGGGATCTTTCAGAATTGGGGATCGAACCCGAGTCTCCTTTGCCACCTGCACTGCAGGTGGACTCTACCTGCTGAGCCATCCCTACCTAAATCCTCACGATTTTTCAACTACATTTCTTCTATCCACACAAGGACAGAGTTCCTCATCTTCAGGTTCCTCCACCTGCAATTCACTCTCACTAAAGTATTCATTTAAAAATGTCATCCTCTGCCTAGATTTTCTTAGTGCTTTCTGCTGCTTCCCAGAGTTCATATTCCTTAGGGAGCCACATGGATCCCTTCTTGTAGCCTCTTTCCACTTTATAGTCATCTCCCATCAAGGCTCCCTAACTGTGGCCATTCTGAATTCCTTAAAATTCACTTCATCACTCAACATTGTCTCAAGAACCAACTGCCTCCCTGCCTCTCAGCACAGGCACCTTCCTGACTGACAACACTGTGGTAAGTGGTTGTGATGATTAAATAAAAGGAATGCTCAGTGTTAAAATAGCTTATAGTTGGTGCTCAAAAAAGAATAGTTCTAGTTCCCTAGAAATTCCTGGAGCACTTTCAACACAAGCCTATATTTCAAACTCAAGTTCAGATGGAGATGGCTTCATCACTTTCTGGGAGAAACAGCCAATTGGTTGCACTAAGTGATAGGATGAGTATATAGAATTTTAAAGCTAAGATGCCAAGATTCTAAACCTGTGCCTTTCTTTAAGAATTGTGCTGTTTAATTTCCAAGTTTTGGAAGATCTTCCTGATTTCTTTCTGTTAATGATTTACAGTTGGCATTCATTAGGGTCAGAGGATATATACTGTATTTCAACTTTGAACAGATATATAAAGATTGGTTTTATGACCTAAAATGGAGTCCATGCATACTTGAAATAATGTCTTCTGCTGTTGTTGTTGGAGCATTCTGTACTATATATCAGATAGACTTGAAGAGGTGAGTGTATTGTTTAGTGCTTCTATACCTTTGTTGACTTTTTATCTGCTAATTCTGTCAATTATTAGGAGAGGCATGTTAAAGTTTCCAACTATAATTAGAAGTTTAATTATGTGTCAAATCAGTTCTGATAATTTTTATTTGGCAGCTCTTTTTATTTGGCTCACACACATTAAAATTGTTACGTTATCTTGGTGAATTGGCTGTTTAGTTATTACATGTTCGTCTTTATCCCTGATGATTTTCTTTGCCTGAATGTTATCTGATATAAAAGAGCCACACCAGCTCTCTTTTAATTAGGATTTGCATACTATATGCTTCTCCATTTGTTCACTTTTAACCTACTTATATGATTATACTTGAAATGAGCTTTTATATAGAACATATAGGTGGGTCATTTTTTCATTGTGCCAATATCTCTTTTAATTGGTGAATCTAGATCATTTGTATTTAGTGTAACTTTTGATGTCTGAGGGATTCCCTGGTAGCTCAGCTCTCTTGCAATGTTGGAGACCCTGGTTCGATGCCTGGATCAGGAAGATCCCCTGGAGAAGGGAAAGGCTACCCACTCCAGTATTCTGGCCTGGAGAATTCCATGGACTGTATAGTCCATGGAGTCACAAAGAGTTGGACAGGATTGAGAGACTTTCACTTTGATGTGTGAACACTAAACTATGCCATTTTACTATTCACTTTCTATTTTTCACTCTGTTTTTTGTTCCTCTGTTTCTCCTCTCTGGTCTTCCTGTGGGTCACTTGAACATTTTTAAGAATTCCTTTCTAATTTAACTGTAGTGTTTTTAGTACATTTCTTTGTTTGGTGCTTTAAGTCTTTGCTCCAAAGTTTATGTGCTATGCATGCACAGCTTATTGTATCATCTGAGGTTGTTTCTCCATTTTAAGGCTAAGGAAACTGAAAGCTAAGTGATTTGCCTAGGTTACTCAAAACTGAAAATGGCCAAAGAAGGACTTGAATCTTAATCTGGTCTCTACTTATGCTACTTGACTTTTCATGATATAGTTAGCAGATAATTGATTTGTTCAGCGTTGCACTTATCCAACAGGCATTTAGGAAGTGCTTATCATATGACAGGTGTAATCCAAGAAGAGTATATGGTGAAATGTGTGGTATAAATTTTTGGTAACCAAATAAGATGTCATTAGGTGGGTTCATTGTGAATGGGAATCTGTGGGGATACCCTCCATAGAATGTTGAAATAAATTTGGCTGGACTTGAACAGAGGCAAGTGGCTCTGTGGAGTAAAGTGGACAGGAGATTTTAAACTGGAGAAGCGACTTGAGCTAAAACAAAATAAGAAGGCATTGAAGAAATGGGCTGATTTGTTTATCATGATTTTTCCCCCATTTTCTCAACATTCTCTACCGTAGCTGTCTGGCTTATTATAGAACATTTATGTGAATAAGAAACATTTCTTATTGGACTAAGAAGGGAAAATGGTAGATAAGGTGGTTAAATGCACTGTGAGGGTTTATATAGAGTTGCTTGTAACAAAAAGATTCCAAAATACAGTGATGTAAAAAAGATTGAAATTTATTTGTCTCTCACAAGTAGGTTGAGATGTAGGCAGGAAGACCAGGATAGGAAGACTGCTTTGCTTCACAAGATCATCTAAAACTACAGTGCTTCTGTCTTGTTGCTCTGGTCCTGCAACAGTGTCATGTGTAAGTTCTGTGCCATGAAAAGGGGAAAGTGAGAGGTGGTGAGAAGCAACTTTCCTTTAAGAACACGACCCAGAAGATGCACACGTCACCACTACTCACGTCCCATTGGATTCACGTGAAATTAAGTGAGGAGTAATGTGACCAGTTAATCATTAGGGAGTTCCATCACTCAGCAGAAGAGAGAGAGAATGTGCCCATGCTTTCTTTAAGGATGAGACATACAGAGCAAATTAGAAACAGTCCTACTTTATGCCCATCAGCTATGCACTATATCTCTGTGCCTCTTTTTCTGAAAACTGGGCATACATTATAGAGTTGTTATAAGAACCAAATTAGTTAGGATTATCAGCTTACTGCCAGGGTGCCTAGCATACAGTTGATGCTCAGTTTATATAGCTAACTCCCTCCCCATCTCTTCAAACATTTATAGTAACAAATTCAAGAAAAAAAAAGTTTTTGATTGCAAATGAGGCATCACTTCTCTGGCCTGATTGCTGCATGGGCTCCCTTCATACACTCTCTGGTCACTTCCCCTCCATTTATTTGTCAATATCTTACAAGAAATCTTTTGCTAAAATACACTCCCAAACACATCAATAAAAATATATAATTGTATTATTAACCTTAGTATTATGATTGCTAACCCCAGAATCCTAAAGATGAGAATTTATAAGAGCCCTCATTTTATATATTTGGAAACTGAGACAGAGAGAAGTTAAATAACTTGACCAAGTATCACATAGAAAATAACCAGTGGCAGCTGGATACAAAGGGATTTGTATGCCTTCAAAATCCAAGTACTAAGCACTCACCTTACCTCTCCTATTCAATTTTTCACTGCAAACAAAACAAGATATAAAGTGTTTCACTTGACATTAAGACATTCTTGGTCTAGCTCATAGTACGTTTCCAGCCTTGTATCCCATCTCCCTACACAAGTGAGTGGTATTCTTTCCAGGAACCTATCCTAGCCTCAGGACCCTTATGTGTGTGTGACACACCCAGACACTCTTCCTTCCACTCGCACTCTTTCTTTCCTCTCCCTGCCCCATTACTCTCATTCTCAATTTATTGCTGTCACATCCAGTAAACTCTAAGTTCCCAGTGCTATTTCAGCTTTATGTCTTTGTCCTTAAATCTTACAAATACCTCCAGTCCTTATATCTTTGTCACTTTGGCTAAGTTACTTCTCCATGACTCATTTTCCTTACTAAAACATGAATAATATCATTACTGCCATAGGGTGGATGGACGAGTGGTTAAGAAAATGCGCTTCCACTGCAGGAGGCATGAGTTCGATCCCTATTCAGGGAACTAAGGGCCCACAGCTGTGTGGTGCAGTCAAAAAAAGATAAACTTGGTCTAGCTTCCCTAGTAGGGAATACACACTGCCATAGGGTGGTGTGAGGGAAATGAGACAACAGGTGGAAGGTGGTTAACGTGGCTCCCGGTGGGTGTGGTTGTCTGTGGCCACCAGCGCCTTCCTCCTGTCCATCAGCCCTTTGCTCTCTCCTGTCCGTCCCCTTGAGCACCTGCACCTGTGCTGCTTTTCTCACGGAGCCCATTCATTCCCCAGAGTCTAGAGTGGCTGTCTGCCAGTATCAGAAAACAAACTGTCTTTCCCATTGCTATTCTCTTTCTTCCTCACAGAAATTTTCTTTCCCCTTTTTCGGGGCTGTAGAGAGCACACTGCCCTGCTTGTGAGATTTTAGCTCCCCGTCCAGGGTTAAACCTGGGTCCATGGAACTGAAAGTCCAAGTCCTGACCACTGGACAGCCAGGGAATTACCCCTCCCAGAAACTGTAAGTGAAAAATCGTTTTCTCCCTCTTAGAGCTGGGGAGTGGAGGCTCCAAAAAAAAGTGAAACAACTTTCCCGATCTCACAGCTAGCCAACCATAGAGTTTACATGGCTCCAGCTAGTGAGCTCTTGTCTATGACTGCTCCTAGCCCTGTAATGAATTTTTTGCCACATAGAACCTGATGTAGGGGACACTGTATTGTGGTTAAACAGATATGATTTACTATGAAGTCCATACTTTCTACCCCAGACATTCACTAAACACATCTCTGCCTTCTCTGGTGAGTCACATGGGCTGAATTCTCTCCCTTCACTAGACTCTAAGATGCTTGAGGTTAGAGACCTTGCTTATTTTATTGTATCTTTATGCCTTACTCTCAGGATACATATGCTCACTCAATCCAAGTAAGATGAACGTATGTATGAGTATTTATAATGAATGTCTACATCCTATAGTGGATTGAACTGAAGTCAAGTTGACAGCAAGAGAAATGAAAACAGGCAGAAATATTTCCAACAGCCCAAGGTACACACACAGAGAAGGGGGAGAGAGGGAGAGAGAGAGAGAGAGAGTCCCCTCAATATAGTCTCCCACAGCTCTACATACCCTCCATTCCAGGACACACAGACATGTGCATGTATAACTGTGGCTCTTCTACTATTTTTCAGTTTGTGAAGAAATATGGCAATGTTTTTAGCTTGGATTTTGGTACATTTCCTTCTGTTCTTGTAACTGGATTACCCTTAATTAAAGAAGCGCTTGTCCACCAAGGCCAAAACTTTTCCAACCGCCCTGTAATGCCTCTCCAAGAGCATGTCTTCAACAATAAAGGTAAGTTCTTACATTGGTTAGCATATGTTTGATATTCTTATGGTCTGCAGAAAGTATCTCCAACAATCCCAGGGACCAAGCTCTCCATAAGGAACCTGAGTGCCCGCGTTTCCCTGTTGAAGGCACTCCGTCAGGACACCTGGCAGAGTCAGCTCTAATGTCAGGGATTTGGGAGAAGCGACATCACCTGCATGAACTCACTCTGGATGCTTTGATAAATAAGTATCCTCATCACTCAGTGATGTGATGTGTTGTTTAAGCAGAGAAAAGGCAATGCGTCCTCAGGTTCTCTTTCTGCTTTCCCACTCAGATCTCTTCATCTAGAAAACGATGTGGATAAGCTTGTTCCTGTTGATTAAGTATTCCCTTCTTGCCTCCAGTTCCTTATGGTCTATTATTAAGGCTGTGCCCCAAAGGTATCTCAAGCCTTCTATCTATGTTAAAAGAGTTTGGCATGAATACTTAGCATGGTCACTAAATTAACTTATATTTTCAAAAAACTAAATGAAAAACTTTAATCTATACTTCTATAAAAACACCATTTTTTTCAGGTATTTCTCAATCCCTCTTTGAAATACTTCACCCATTATTCTACATCCATTCACTCGATCATCTGCCATGAGAACCTAGGACTAGAGGCTCCAGTGACAGAGTAGTGAGTAAAACAGGAAAAAAATATTGATTTTTGTGTAATTTACATGCTATTAAGAGAGACAGTATCAAGTACTAAAATTTAACGCCTCAGTTTTATGAAGATAAGAGCAGGGTTCACTTAGTATGGGTACCAAATCTGATCCTGAGACTCAGGAAAAGCTATTTTAAGTAAATAACAAATAATAAAATGAAGAAGCAATCCACTAGAGGGAATAGAATATGAAAAGTTTCTAAGATGAGAAAAAGGACAGTGAACTGAAGAATTGAAAGGTATCTAGTGTGAGAAGAACAGAGTTTAAATGGAGATAATTAAATGAAGATGAAAATGCTAAGTTTGGCCAGAAATAGTTCATGTTTAAGGATATAGCTTTTTATCCTAATCACAATGCAGGCTTCTGAATGTTTAAGTAGTAAAAGGAATCAATATACTTACATGGTAAGTTTTAAAGACTTCTGTAAGTTTCAATGTCAAGAATGGATTAAAACGACCAAAAGACTATTGTAGAATTTTAAGGGAGAAGAGGTGGTGGCAAGAAATGGCAGTCCAGTAGATTACACTAGGAGAGTGACTGTGAAGACAAGTTGATTTAAGCTATTCAGGAGGCATATTCAATAGGACATGATGGGAGAATGAGGTAGACACCCAAATGGGTAGGTAAAGGAAAAAAGGAAGATGTGGAGGAGAACAAGGTGTTCGTTGACCTGGGTGGTGAGTTGTATGGAGCAAATCATTAACTGAGTCATGAATATGCTGAGTGTGAAGCCAAGAGAGTCAAGCAGAAAATTGGTTACATGTCTGCAGCGGAGGCACAGATATAGATGTTCACATCAGTAGATGTCATTTGAAATATTTGGAGTTGCTAAGATTTAGTAAAAATGGAGGATAAAGGTAAGAAGAGAAGAGGCTTTGACCCAAGCTTGAAAAGGTCCATCATTTCAAAATTTGATAGGAGATAAGTTAACTGAAGGTATGATGATTCTGTGAAGTCAGAGAATTAGCAGAAAAGTCTGGAGAGCATGGTGTCCTGAGCACTGCTGGAAAAGAGTGTTTCAAGAAAAAAGCATCTCCTGCTGTTGACACATCAACATGAGGCTGAAAAGGATCCTGGACTGAACAGCAGGGAGGGCCACTTCACTAAGGTGGTGGAAGTGAAAGGGAGATATTAGAAGGAGTGGAAGAGTGTACTGGAATGAAGAATTGAGAGGGTGGTGGTCTCCCCTGTGTTATAAAATAAATGAAGTTCTCTGCACCCCTCATGATGGATTTTTTTAATCCTTTGCCTGTGATTTTCTTTCTACACACCATTCAAATTCTTTGTTTTGGGTGATTCATCTATCTTGTAAAGATATTTAAACACTTTCTCCTTATGAGTTTTTATTTTGTCTAGTCAATTAGTGCATACTTAGTATGTAGCATAACAAATATAGTATGTGACAAGTAATCGAAACATGGGCATCAGAGTCAGGCTGACTTGAAAATGAATGCCTGTTCTGCTGCTCCAACTCTGTGACCTTTCAGAGTGTACTTTTATCTCCTGTGCTTCAATTTTCTCATCAACAAAATTGGGGTGCTGGTTTGGCAGTAGTGACATATATAGAAGTATATCAGAGAGTAAGTACTAAATCCCAGAATGCATTAAAAATACTGTCTCCAGCATTGCAAGCAATCAGTAAATTCAACCCATTATATCAATTGCTTTGAAATTATTTCTCTGAATAGTTTCAAGCACCTTAAAGCCCTTTTTCTTCCTTCTGATACATCACAGGTCTTGTTGGCTTTTTTGCATAATGTTGGCTTTCTTTTCCCAGGCTTGATCATGTCCAGTGGCCAATTATGGAAGGAACAAAGAAGGTTTGCCCTGACAACTCTTAGGAACTTTGGTTTAGGAAAGAAGAGCTTAGAGGAATGCATTCAGGAGGAGGCCACCTACCTCATCCAGACGATAAGAGAGGAGAACGGTGAGCATGTCATAGGACAGGTGCAGGGACCGTGGCTCATATATTCATTAACCAGATGTTCATCAGTGCCTACCTGCCTTTCCTGAGCCCAGAATTGTGTAGGGTGCTGAGGGGATAAGAGGGAACAGCTAACCATGACCTGTCCTCCTCATGGGGCTCATGAATTAAGAAAAAGATGGGTAGTAAACATATTGGTTTTAAGTCCTGGTCATCAGTTTGACTTCCCATGCATTGACTAAGTACTTGCCCAGTGTCAGACCCTGGGGTCACAGTCTCAGAGGTGGTTCTGTAGTCGGTCTGTCATATGTCACACAGAGTAGGATCTCTGGAAAATAGAAACAATCCTATCTGAAGGCTCCATCTCTTCTTCTTCCTCCAGGAGAGCCTTTTGACCCTCACTTCACAATCAACAATGCCGTTTCCAATATTATTTGCTCCATCACCTTCGGGGAGCGTTTGATTACCAGGATGGGGGGAGGAGCCAAGATGGCGGAGGAATAGGACGGGGAGACCACTTTCTCTCCTACAAATTCATCGAAAGAACATTTGAATGCTGAGCAAATTTCACAAAACAACTTCTGATCGCTAGCAGAGGACATCAGGCGCCCAGAAAAGCAGCCCATTGTCTTCGAAGGGAGGTAGGACAAAATATAAAGGATAGAAAGGGAGTCAAAAGAGCTACGGACGGAGACCCATCCCGGGAAGGGAGTCTTAATAGAGGAAGTTTCCAATCACCAGAAAACCCTCGCACTGGTGGGACTGGGGGGAGTTTTCAGCAATGATTACCAGGATGGTCAGTTCCAGGAGCTGCTGAGGCTGCTGGACGAGGTCTTAAATCTGCAGACATCAGTGTGCTGCCAGGTGAGGCAGTTGTCACCTCCTATCTTTCATAAAGACATTAGGCTGATGTCCGTCACAGATTAGATGGGGTCTTCCTTTCCTTTGTAGCTAAAAGATAACCTTTTGAAATTGACTTCAGCACAAACTTGTTTGAAATCAATCTGTTGACTTTAATGATTTTTATAATATTGTCAAATATTTACTATTGATAAATAACATTACTAACATTTGTGTAAAGTATAGTACTTTACATGACTTACAGGTATACACTACATTCTTTTCCTTAAAAAACAGAATACTGCCATCACTATTGAGTCTCTTCTGTCCATGTCCCTCCCTAGTCCCACACCTCTGTGATCCTCAGATGTATGCTTCTGTGCCTGGCTCTAACTCAGCTCATTGTTTTGAAATTTATTTATTGGGTCTTCTAATTTACTCTGTGCAGTTTTCCTCTGCATGCAGGTGCCACTGATTGTTATTCTCTTGAATAATGCTTGCAGATTTATTGAACATATGAGGGATTTCTAATTTGAGGATGTTATGAATAAAACTGCCATGAACATTCCTGTTTTATTGTTCATGTGGACACATCCACTCATTTCTCTTGCATATGCACCTGTATGTAAAAATCCTTAATGGTTTCTACCTGTTGGTCTATTTTTATGCCCATCCACACTTGTTACTACCAGTTTTCTAAATTTCTAAGATATTGATTTAAGGGATTCAACCCTCACCCTGTCCTTGGTAGTCCCTGCTGTCTCCTTTTGTCCTGCTAGGGTTTTAAGTCTGTCAAAAGCTCTGCTCATCTGCTTGGTCTCTCAGCCCCTTTTGTTTATTTGGAAGGCACTGTTAGGGGAAAATCAGCCCTAAGTGTTGGGGTAAACCCTTGTGTATGTAAAGGAGGATTTACTTGAAATCATTTTTAACAAGTAACATTGCCTGGAGATTTTTGAACCCATCTCACCTAACCTGATAAAGCAGTTAGCGTGAATCCTGGCACAGAAAATGGACATAATGAGTGTGAGCTACTATGATTATTATCAGTATTATTTTTGAACAACATTTCTTATTGTCACTTCTAATCATGGTAACCCCTCCATTCAGTAATTCCATTTTATTCCTTACTATTAAGACAGAACTTAGGAAGTCTGGGACCACAGTGAGCATGTGTTGACTATTCCCAGGGAAAAGAAATTCCTGAGAAGGAATTTGAAGAAGGTTGGATGAGGCAGTGAGGCAGGGGGTAATATGCATTTTTTAGAGACCCAAAATAGATCAGGCGGTATGACTGACAATTGAATATACTTTATTTCAGTCAATTTTTACAACAATCCTTTAAAGATGAAATGGAGCATCCTAAAGTATGCAAGTAGATATGGGAATGGTTAAGCATATTCACATAGTGATCCACTGGCTGTGTGTTAAGTGTGGAATAGATCTCATGTGATTGAGTAAGGAAAATAACCCTGGTGCCCCAGTGGCAGCAGATTATACTAAGCCCGGACAAATTACATCATCATCTTCATTATTGTCATTATTACCATTATTATTACTCCCAAAGCCTTATAGCTAGAAAGCAGTAGAGCTAATATTCAAAGGCATGTATGTTTCATTTTAAGTCTAGGCAATTTTCCATTATGTTGGGCTATCTGTTTTCTACCAGATATTTTTAGGGAAAATATATCCAAAATACACTTAATTTTATTAAAAATGTCTTATCCACATGAAGAATACATCATAATGGTAAGATAGATAAACACATATCTATGTTTAACATAACTAACTAGCTAGCTAGAAAGAGATGTTTCATACACAAAGATACATACACACATATTAGAGGAAAATGTAATGAAAAAATATAAAAAGGGAATGGGAAGAGGTTCCAGAAGTACTGCATTATAGGATTATCAGGTAAGATATCTCCAAGCAAGAGCCAACCTGAATGAAATAAAAGGCTAGGATTATACAAATTCCAGAGGAAGACCAGTCTTCATTGAAGGAATAGTGAATGGAAAAGACTAAACATTGTCATTCTTGATGTTGTCACAGAGACCAATGGAGCTGGACTAAGAGTAAGATGGCAGTGAGTGATAGCATAAGAGGGGACAGGCGTGGAAGAGGCCAGCTCATGTAGAGCTCCAGGCCAGGAGAGTGATGTAGAATTTGTCTAAATGTCATGGAAAGTCATTGGAGGATTGAAAGATAAATAGTGGAATGATCTGTATAAACTGTTAAATGATCTCTCCGGCAGCTCAGTGGAAAATAGACTGGGAAAGGGGTTGAGGAGAGAATCAGGGAAATTGCTGGGAGGCCTTAAAGCATCTAGGTAAGAAATGCTGGGGTTTTGTCCTAGAATGACAAACAGACGGACTACTGAGAAGTGGTCTGAAGATGGTTCTATTTTGGATGGAGTGTTGAAATGCTTTGCCAGAGGGGAAAGAAGAGGGGTGTGACAGAGAAGATGAGTCAAGGGTGACTCCAAGGGTTAATGTAAGCAAAGAAAATACATATAGAGATACAATGGTTTCCTTGTCTTCAAAAGTGGAAAACGGGTACCTCCTTGTCTCCATGACTCTCTTGTTTTCTCCATCAGCTCTACAATGTCTTTCCAAGGATAATGAATTTCCTTCCGGGTCCCCACCAAACCCTCTTTAGTAATTTGGAGAAACTGAAAATGTTTGTTGCCAAAATGATTGAAAACCACAAGAGAGACCGGAATCCTGCTGAAGCAAGAGACTTCATTGATGCTTATCTCCAGGAAATAGAAGAGGTGAAGGAACCTGAGTGTTTTCCTGAGTAGTGTTCTTAAAGAGCAAACGAGGTGATTCTGATATCTTATTGCTGCTGTCAGAGATCACCACAAACTTGGTGGCTTAAAACACCAACATTTATCAAGTCAAGGTTGGGGCAGGCTGGCTCTTTTGAGGCTCTAGGGCAGAATCCACTGATGGGCTTTTCCAGCATCTAGAGGCTGCCTGTACCCCTGAACTCATGCCCCTTTCCTCAGTCTTCAAAGCCATTGATGTAATGTCTTCTTTTCCACTGTCCTCACGTCCTCTCTTAATTTGCTCCTTGTCTCCTCTTCTGATTACAATGCGCACGCTAGGATAATCCGTATCAAGACCCTTAATTTCATGATATCTACAAAGTTCCATCTGTCAAAAAACATTTACCCGTTCCAGAGATTAGGACATGGACATTTTTGTGGGTCATTATTCAGCCTAGCACAAGGTTGGAAAAATAGAGACACTATTTCAGAGTATAGAAATATCATTGGCTCAGAACTGATGATACATTTGAAACAAAGATATTGGTTTAAGAGTATTCAGCTTGAGGTCTTTGGAAAGCCCACATATACTGCCTTTTGATAGTCTATTTCTATCCTCTACCCATATCTGAAATACCTGTACACAATAGGGAAAAAAAGCATTGTTTCATTATTACTTGTACCAATGTCCAGTCCCCTACCCCTTCCCCAGTTCCCCAGTGCAGAGTATAAGTGAAGCTGAGTCAGATGCCAAAGGTTAGTCTCAAGTGGAGGACTTTTGCCTTCCTCCCTCCTCCGTATTTCATGCACTTTCAAATGTTGTTTATGAGATGCAGGGAAAAGGCCAAATTGAATATAGGTCCTTTAACATATTAAGCCCTGAGGTTAATACTCATCATTGCATCAGTGTCATTATTTTTGACTCATTTTCAACTTTTCAACTTGTTGAGGATTTCTTATATGACCTTTCCATCTCACAGAGTTGAAAGAATGGTGAATTTTTTTTTTCTGTCTCCTCTCTTATTTCACCTTACTGTTATACCATTAACAGAAGTATTGATTCCTCCTGAGAGGAGGAGACTTCACTTGTTATAAGGTGTGCAGGCACACAGAGGAACACTGACACATTGAAGCTCCTATAGCAAAGTGGTGAAGATGCGGGAGTGCCATGAGGAATGATTGTTGGAATCAGAGAAGTTTAACCTAAGGAGGATGTTAATGGGGAATGGTGAGAATTGTACTTTAGAGAAATTCATTTTATTCTTTCTGGTATCAATACAAACATTTGTTGAGGATTTCTTATATGACCTTTCCATCTCACATAGTTCATAATGCCAATTGAGGAGTGAATATTGAACACAGAGTGTTTGAGAGGTTTAGTAACTTGGTCAAGTTGTACATATAGTGAAAGGTGTGGCTAATATTGGAATGCAAATATTATTCTATTTCCAATATAATAATAGATTCTCCCAAAATATGGAAGTAAAAAGATTCTCTCAATTTTCATCCATCTAAGGTGACAAAAGCTTCCAGCCCTTGGAGCAGGAAGATGCTAATGATACTGCAATAATAAGCTTCTGCCTGCCGAGATGGTCAAAGGAAAAGTCATTTCTCTGAGGGGAATCTCTCCTCCCATGTTCTCTCTAGGGTGAAGCCTCCTATGTTGTGGCAACTAAGAACCATCTGGATAAACCAATAATCACTGTATTTTCTAGCATAAGGGCGATGCTGCTTCAAGTTTCTGTGAAGAAAACCTTATCTACAACACCCTGGACCTCTTCTTTGCTGGAACAGAGACAACTTCAACCACCCTGCGCTGGGGGCTGCTCTACATGGCCCTGAACCCCGAAATCCAAGGTGAGCTCATTAGTGGATGGGCCTCGGCCAGGTCAGTATGCTTCCATAAATTAGTTCATCTATGTCTCAATATTCCTAAAGGGAAAGTTGGTTCACCCTCACTAATAAGAGGAACCTGAGGCTCACACAGCCTTAGGAACTCGCAGCAGGAATGTTGTTGAGCAAGAGTTTTCCACCTAATTTGTCTCACACCAGGGCCCACTTCCCACTCTCGCACCTCCCTGAGAAGCTAGTCTGGAGAGCCTAGGATAGTCATTTTGATGCTGGTTATTTCATTCCTCAACTCAAGCAGACTCAAGGAGAGTTATGGAAAAACAGAATACTAGAACCACCTCTGCTTTTTTCAGAAAAAGTCCAAGCTGAGATTGACAGGGTGCTCGGCCAATCACAACAGCCAAGCACAGCCGCGCGAGAGTCCATGCCCTACACCAACGCTGTCATCCACGAGGTGCTGCGAATGGGGAACATCCTCCCTCTGAATGTGCCCCGGGAGGTGGCAGTGGACACCACCCTGGCCGGATACCACCTGCCCAAGGTAATTAGGGGCTCACACCAACAGCCTCAGATCTCCAAGCTCGTATTTGTAAATGATGGGAATCTCAATGGCAAATGTGATGTGTTTTCTTGTCTTAGGAAAACGCTTAATTGGAGAGGAAGATATATTACCACTGATGTAATTCTAGATATTTTTCTTTACATGGGGTCTTTAGAATATTAGTTCAAATAAATGTTAATAGTCGTTCTAGAGGAGACGGGGGATTCCTACATCAAACATGTTCAGACAAAGGCTGGCTTTTCTCTGCTATGAGATTTCTCATTCTTTTTACTACCTGATATGCATTGTTAATTCTTGTGGGGAAACTGCAGGCAGCAATTCTCAGTCAGACTTTGCCATGAGGTCCTTTTCTTTGCCATGGGAGAGCTTTTCACAGGATAGGGACCTGCCAGACTTATTTTGGAAAATTCTGTTTCAAAATCCTGGGGGTTTAGAATGTTGAAATATGAGAAACAGTTGAAATCTCCTGGGCCAACATCACATTAAACTGGTGTTTCTAACATAATATCCCCACAGGTATTGCTTCCAGCCTTGACTTACAGTCCCTTGATGGGACTACCTCACAAGGGAATCAATCCAAGCCTGTGTACATTGAATATCCAAAAGGAGTGAAAGAACGAATGGTTTTTAAGCAGTGACCATGTACTATGGACTATATAGGTTCTTTCAACTTAATCAGTCCTCAAAATAATTCTTTTTTTTTTTTTTACAAATTTATAATGAAGGCTCAGAGCTGATTGATCTTGCATAAAATCTCTGGTGTACAAAGTGACAAGAGTTGAGTTAAAGAAATAGATGTGTTCTGGGCCCCAGGCTCCTCTTTTTTGTACTATACCATGTTTTCTCCACAGGAGTTGCTCTATTTAGCTTTAAAAGAAGCTCCTTAAATTGTTCTCAGTAGGACCCTGTTAAGTTCCCTGCCCTCACAAAGGCAGTTCTGCGCTCTGCCAATCACTCTTAGGATCTCAGCAACCAGCTCTCCTGTCCCCACAAGTGCCATCTCTGCACACCACACATTCACAGTTTTGCTTTCTCAACACCTAAGTCCATTTCCATAGATCCATTTCAGTTTGTCTGAGTCCCTCATAGTGTGTTGAACATGGTGTTGATTTCAAGATAAAATCAGAAGAGCCTCTGCTTTGGGCTCACCTTGGTCATGGTCCCTGCAGGTCTTGGAGAAGCAGCTATTCCTGCAGCGATTTCATTAACTATTTTCTTGCTGATTGACCATCTTATGGATGAATTCTGAGGTCTAGGTGAAATTACAGGTGATCTTCACATATTCATAGCAATTCATTTAGCTCCGGAGAACCATCCTAGCTTAAGAGATTGGTTTTCTAAGATTTTTTTTTTTTCTGATGTACTGTTCTCCAAGACCCTTACCCACTGGGTGGGCAACTTGCAAACTGGAGAACAATTATACTACAGAAGTTCTGCCACAGGAGTGAAAGTCCTGAGCCCCAAGGCAATCTTCCCAGCCTGAGGGTCTGGCATCAGGAGGAGCCCCCGAGAATCTGGCTTTGAATGTCACCAGCCTTTTGTTGTAGGAATTCCACTCTACTAAAGGAAGCATCAACTCTACTCTTGGGTCATGTGCACACTGAGACCCATGGAAAAATAGCAGTGACCTCATAAGAGTCTGGACCAGATCTACCTACTAATATTGGAAGGTCTCCTGCAGAGGCAGGGGGCAGCTGGGGCTCATGGCAGGGACAAAGACCCTGGCACTGGCAGGTCTAGTGAGTAGTCACTGGCATGAAGATGCCCAGAGGCCACCATGCAAAAAGGTATGGGAACAAGTGGTATGACAGAGAAACTGAAAAAGGCTTGATATAGTGGGAGTGTAGGCAGAAGGACTGTGACTCAGATAGAGGGCTGGTGATATGTCCTTAATCTGAGTGATGAGAACTGTTTGGAGGGTTTTTATCAAGTTCCAGGAGTGCTGGGTGGATAGGAGTGACATAACTAAATCATGTCCAGAGCTAACTCTGCTTTCAGTGTATGAGCACTTTGAAGGGGGGAGAGGATATAGAGTTGTAGTTAGGCCTACTGTAGGAGTGTGGACAACCAAGGTGGTATCTTGGACCAGGCAGTGGGGGGAAATAACATGGAGGTGATATAATCAAGAGGAATTTCAAGGAAAATTGACCAGCCTGGAAAATGATGGAATGAAGGCGGAATGAAGTAAAGAGGGGCGTTAATGAGGACTCTTGGGTTTCTTGCTGCAAGCTGGGAAGGATAGTGGTTCTTTCCACTGGGTGACCTGATTCTATTATTAAACCTTCTCTGGAATGTGTGAGATAATGGAGGGAAGAGAATGGGAGAAACAGATGAATGAGACATTTTTCATGTTGGGGAGGCTGCCATATTTACCACTTCACTGAGCAACTGGGTTGATTTTGGTCCAGAGGTGCCTGCCCACTGTCACATTATTCTCTCATTAATGCACATACCTTCCCATTCTGCACTAAGAGTAGTCACATTTTGCTGATAAAATTCCCAGCAGACAATTCCAGTCCATCATTGTAAGCTGTCCCATGGCAAAGAGCAGGGTCCTAGGGGTTGAGCTTAGCAGGTACAGGGGTGGGGAGGCTGAAGAAGTTCAATCAGCCTTGATGTGGGAGCCCGGGGGACTTCTGCCCCTCGGCACACATCTGTTGTGTGTGTCGTGTCTTGCATGAGTCTCCTGATTTCTCCAGGGCACCGTGGTCACAACCAACCTGACTGCACTGCACAGGGACCCCACAGAGTGGGCCACCCCTGACACCTTCAATCCAGAGCATTTCTTGGAAAATGGACAGTTTAAGAAAAGGGAATCCTTTCTGCCTTTTTCAATAGGTGAGTATCTGGAAATAGGAGTGTGGGAACCCAGAGTACTCTCAGCCGTTCCCTCCTCTTCTTGTGATGCCTTGCTTTAGTTGGCATGTCTCTAGATAGCCGTGCCTAGCGTGACTCACTCTTGCTATGGGTGCATTGCAGGCTTCCCTGGGCTAAGCATCACCAGGATTCATTCTCTTACATCCTAAGCCCTGGCTTGGCTCTGATGGAAATTTCAGCTTTAAATTGTTCGGTCCCCAGGAACTTTGGGGAGAGGAACTTTGTCTTTGCCTGTTACCCACAAGAGAAGGTTGGGCACTTGCCATCTTTATAGAACTTAAAGTGTTTCAAGATCTTTTTAGTGCCTCCCACTCACAAAAACATAAAGCTAATTGCTAAGAAAGGGGTAGGGGAGGTTCCATTAAAAGGACTGCTTCCTTATCACTATGGGCATTACAAGTGACTCTAGGTGCCATGGGCTTAAGTAGATGAGATTCTATCTATACGTTCTTCCTGAAGCAGTCCTTTTACTTTATAAAATGAGATGGTTTGATAGCATCACCAACTCTATGGACATGAGTTTGAACAAACTCTGAGAGATAGTGAAGTACAGAGAAGTCTGTGTAGTGCAGTACATGGGGTTGCAAAGAGTCAGACACAATTTAGTGACTGAATAACAGCAATCCTTTACAAATCTAGTTAATACATTTACATGGTGTATAACTTGAAATATATGAAAGAGAATGCAGAGAAAACTCTTTCTCTCATGTTTCCCAGCCAGCCAGTTCCAAAGGGGTGTTTTACTCTTAACTTTGTGAAATGAAGAAGGAAAAATCTTATATATACCAGGTAATGAGTTAAGTATGTTGCTGAGATCATTTAAAATAATTTCCCAAATCCTTAATTCTATAAATGTTTTCTGAGCACCTATTATATGTCAATTATGTAGCCTTGAGAATATGACAATGATTAGGTAGGAAAAAAAAAAACAGTGCAACTTTTATGGACCGTGTGTTCTACCTTAAAGTTATAAGGTCCAAATTTCAGTCACCACACTGGAGATAAGGGAGGAAACTAAAGCTTAACAGGGTCAACTATGGTATCTATAGTCATAAAGCTCACGGAGCAGAGGTTGAACTCAGTGTTGACAAGGTTTATCAAATAAGGCCTATGGACTTCCTAGAAACATCTCCCAAGAAAGTAACTAAATGCTACAGTGAATGAATGCTCTGAATTTCACAACAATTTTCTTATCATTAAGTTAAATTAAATATACATTGACTTTTTGTCGCAGTATAATCTAATTGATCATGCCACAAAGGCACAGAAAGGGAGGGACTGGAAATTGACCCCATGTAGGCATGATACAGAGCCCAGGCTTTTCTGCTATAGGGTGCTGTCCTGCGTGTATCTGGACTGATTCCAATTAGATCTTCTGTCTTTCTTTCTCTGGTTCTATGCCACCTTTGCTCACTCGGGCAAGTCATTTTTTATATGAAAGCAGACCTGAGATGTAGGAAAACATTCCAGACTTTGTGTCTGCCTTGGTGTGTACTAAGTCGCTTCACTCATGTCTGACTCTTTGCAACCCTAAGGGCTATAGCCTGCCAGGCTCCTCTGTCCATGGGATTCTCCAGGCAAGAGTACTGGATGGATTGCCATGCCCTCCTTCAGGGACTCTTCCCAACCCAGGGTTTGAACCTATGTCTTCTAAGTCTACTGCATTGGCAGGTGGATTCTTATCACTAGCGCCACCTGGGAAGCCTAGACTTCCTGCCTACAAGATCTTTATGTTTCTTATTATAGTAAGGAGTTTCAGCTGTTTTATCTTAAATGTTATAATTTTTCTTGCTTCACTGTATTTTTTGTTAAAGTTGAAACACCTTCCTATTACAGATTTCATTTGCAAGCAAATTATTTTATTTTATACTTACAGCAACCCAATTATTAACAGTTAGGAAAACGATTAGTATCTCCTTTCTCAGTGAAAGGAAATTAGGATTAAGAGAAAGTTATTTCTCATCCAAGGTTGTGTGCCCAAGGAATTGGCATAAAAGGGCCGAAGACTCAAGTTTCTGGTTTCTTTTAAATTTTTGTTGAAGTATAGTTGATTTACAATATTGTATTAGTTTCAGGTGTACAGCAAAGTGATTTAGTTATGTGCTTAGATGCTCAGTCATATCCAACTCTTTGTGACCCCATGGACTACAGCCCGCCAGGCTCCTCTGTCCATGGGGATTCTCCAGGCAAGAATACTAGAGTGGGTTGCCATGCTCTCCCTCTGCCAGGGGGTCTTCCCAAACCCACAGATCAAACCCAGGTCTCCCACTTTGCAAACAGATTCTCTACTGACTGAACCACCAGGAAAGCCCAAGAATACTGGAGTGGGTAACCTATCCCTTCTCCAGGGGATCTACCTGATCCAAGGATCAAACTAGGGTCTCCTGCATTGCAGACAGATTCTTTACCAGCTGAGCTACTGACTCACATGGTAAAGATTTAGTTATAGATACATATATATCTTTTTCTTTCTAGGTTTCCACCTTACTGGTTATTACAAAATATCGCATATAGTTACCTATGCTATACAGTAGGTCCTTGTTGGTTATATATGTAGTTCTAATCTAGTGCTCTCCCTAACACGCTTAGAATTTTCCTACTTAAAGGCCCTTCCATTTTAAGATTCACTAAATTCATATCATATGTATTAATTGTTACATTGCTGCATTACAAAGATGGCAAACTCAATGACTTAAAACAATAAGTGTATATTATTGCTCACAAGTCTACAGTTGAGCTGAGGGCTTCATGTTTCTTAGCTGGGCTTTCTTGCCCATTTGGGAGGTCAGTTGGCTGAAGGCTGATCTAGGATGACATCAGCTGGGACAATAGGGCTCTTTTCCAAGTTTCCTTCTCTAGCTATCCCATCTGATGTACATGTAGAAGACAAGACCCCAGGAGGGAAGAAAGCACACAGTGCCTCCCAAGGGCCAGGCTGGGAACTGGTGACCATCACTCCCACTGCCTTCTGGAGCCCAAGCAGGTCATACTGTGAACCCCAGTTCAAGGGAAAGGGAAAATAGCACAATTTTTATGGGAAGGGTTATGAAATCACCTTGCAAATGATGGGGGTACCAGGAGAGGGGGGAAATTGGAGCCGGTATTGTAGTCAGGTAATCTCACTATCTTTCTTTCTGCCCAGGAAGAGTGATGCAGACCAAGCTAGCAATTTGGGGATTCCCTCAACTGTGACTAAATGATGACTAGCTAAACAGAACAGGAAATAGAAACCAGAAAAGTCCACTGACTTAAAGTGTCAACACTGCCGTCAGGTTTATTCCCAACATACTCCCATCTTTAGAGCTCAGTTGCTTTACCTCATACTTGATCCAGCACTTTATAAAGAAAGCTTCCCTGAAGGAATGGGGTGTGAAAAGCACTCTCCCTTCTCTTGGAAAGGTCAGGTGTGGAATTAGGAGATGTGCACAGTTGGGGAGATTACAAAGGTATTATGCAAACATACATTTTCTTTTCTTCATTTAAGTTTTCCCTTTAGACCCAACAAAGCAGCAGATTTCTTCATGAAAGCAAGAGTCTGAGTCCTCAATTTTCAGAAATATCACTAAATCATGGAGATACGATTAGGAAGATAGCCTCTCAAAAACCCTAGGTCAGTCCTCTCATTTCTAGTAACTGGCCTGGTTAGTTGGTGATGGTGAGTTAGTGCATGCACCAAGAAGAAAGTCCGTGTTTCCCATAATCCAGGATGAAGGCTTGAAATAAGGTAGTCTTTCTTTTCATGACTTATAAATCAAACTCAGATCTCCTGTTTCACTGGTATCCTTGAAGAGCCATATATTGTGCTTAGGAGAGCAATTATTTTACCAGTTTGAATAGTGAAAATTGTATATGTCGATGAAAATAAGCTATTTACTCAAAGTCCAGAGCTGGTTACTGATGGAACCAGTAATGTAACCCTGGATCCTGACTCCAAGGGTCCACTTTTATCGCACTACATGGATTATTCTAGGAGAATTTTGGGTATTTATAATAAAGCTGACTTGATTCCATCTAAACAAATTTTCTCATTTGCTGAAATTTAAGCCAATTTCTTCATTTTTTCTGTTCAGTTCAGTTGCTCAGTCATGTCCGACTCTTTGCAACCTCACGGACTGCAGCATGCCATGCCTCCCTGTCCATCACCAACTCCCAGAGTTCACTCAAACTCATGTCCATTGAGTCGGTGATGCCATCCAAACATCTCATCCTCTCTTGTCCCCTCTGCTCCCGCTTTCAAACTTTCCCAGCATCAGGGTCTTTTCAAAGGAGTCAGTTATTTGCATCAGGTGACCAAAGTAATGGAGCTTCAGCATCAGTCCTTCCAATGAATATTCACGACTGATTTCCTTTAGGAAATACTGGTTGGATCTCCTTGCAGTCCAAGGGACTCTCAAGAGCTTTCTCCAACACCACAATTCAAAAGTATCAATTCTTCAGTGCTCAGCTTTCTTTATAGTCCATCTCTCATATCCATACACGACTGCTGGAAAAACCATAGCCTTGACTAGGTGGACCTTTGTTGGCAAAGTAATGTTTCTGCTTTTTAATATGCTGTCTAGGTTGGTCATAGCTTTTCTCTCAAGGATTAAGTGTCTTTTAATTTCATGGCTGTAGTCACCATCTGCAATGATTTGGGAGCCCCCCAAAATAAAGTCAGCCACTGTTTCCACTGTTTCCCCATCTATTTGCAATGAAGTGACGGGACCAGATGCCATGATCTTAGTTTTCTGAATGTTGAGCTTTAAGCCAACTTTTTCACTCTCCTCTTTCACTTTCATCAAGAGGCTCTTTAGTTCTTCTTCACTTTGTGCCATAAGGGTGGTGTCATCTGCATATCTGAGGTTACTGATATTTCTCCTGGCAATCTTGATTCCAGCCTGTGCTTCATCCAGCCCAGCATTTCTCTGCATATTAAGTTAAATAAGCAGGGTGACAATATACAACCTTGACGTACTCCTTTCCTGATTTGGAACCAGTCTGTTTTTCCATGTCCAGTTCTAACTCTTGCTTCCTGACCTGCATACAGATTTCTCAGGAGGCAGGTCAGGTAGTTTTGTATTCTCATCTCTTTCACGATTTTCCACAGTTTATTGTGATCCACACAGTCAAAGGCTTTGGCATAGTCAATAAAGCAGAAGTAGATATTTTTCTGGACTCTCTTGCTTTTTTGATGATCCAACGGATGTTGGCAATTTGATCTCTGGTTCCTCTGCCTTTTCTCAATCCAGCTTGAACATCTGGAAGTTCATGATTCACGTATTGTTGAAGCCTGGCCTGGAGAATTTTGAGCATTACTTTGCGAGCATTTGAGATGAGTGAAATTGTGCAGTGGTTTGAATATTCTTTGGCATTGCCTTTTTTGGGGATTGGAATGAAAACTGACATTTTCCAGCCCTGTGGCCACTGCTAAGTTCTCCAAATTTGCTAGCATGTTGAGTTCAGCACTTTCATAGCATAATCTTTTAGGATTTCAAATAGCTCAACTGGAATTCCATCACCTCCACTTGCTTTGTTCATAGTGATGCTTCCTTAGGCCCAGTTGACTTTGCATTCCAGGATGTCTGGCTCTAGGTGAGTGATCTCACCATCATGATTATCTGGGTAGTGAAGATCTTTTTTGTATACTTCTTCTGTGTATTCTTGCCACATCTACTTAATATCTTCTGCTTCAGTTAGGTCCCTACCATTTCTGTCCTTTATTGTGCCCATCTTTACATGAAAAGTTCCCTTGGTATCTCTAATTTTCTTGAAGAGATCTCTAGTCTTTCCCATTCTGTTGTTTTCCTCTATTTCTTTGCATTGATACTTGAGGCTTTCTTATCTCTCCTTGCTATTCTTTGGAATTCTGTATTCAAATGGGTATATCTTTCCTTATCTCCTTTGCCTTTTGCTTCTGTTCTTTTCATAGCTATTTGTAAGGCCTTCTTAGACAACCATTTTGCCTTTTTGCATTTCTTTTTCTTGGGGATGGTCTTGATCCCTGCCTCTTGTACAATGTCACGAACCTCCATCCATAGTTCTTCAGACACTCTGTCTATCACATCTAATGCCTTGAATCTATTTGTCACTTTCACTGTATAATCATAAGGGACTTGATATAGGTCATACCTGAATGGTCTAGCGGTTTTCCCTACTTTCTTCAATTTAAGCCTGAATTTGGCAATAAGGAGTTCATGATCTGAGCCACAGTCAGCTCCCGGTCTTGTTTTTGCTGACTGCATAGAGCTTCTCCATCTTTGGCTACAAAGCATATAATCAATCTGATTCTGGTATTGACTCTCTGGTGATGTCCATGTGTAGAGTCTTCTCTTGTGTTGTTGGAAGAGGGTGTTTGCTATGACCAGTGCGTTCTCTTGGCAAAACTCTATTAGCCTTTGCCCTGCTTCATTCTGTACTCCAAGGCCAAATTTGCCTGTTACTCTGGCTATTTCTTGACTTCCTACTTTTGCCTTCCAGTCCCCTATAAGGAAAAGGACATCCTTTTTGGGTGTTAGTTCTAGAAGGTCTTGTAGGTCTTCATAGAACCACTCAACTTTAGCTTCTTCAGCATTACTGGTTGGGGCATAGACTTGGATTACTGTGATATTGAATGGTTTGCCTTGGGAACAAACAGATCATTCTGTCATTTGGGGGACTGCACCCAAGTACTGCATTTCAGAATCTTTTGTTGACTATGATGGCTACTCCATTTCTTCTAAGGGATTCTTGCTCACAGTAATAGATATAATGGTCATCTGAGTTAATTTCACCCATTCCAGTCCATTTAGTTTGCTGATTCCTAAAATGTTGACATTCACTCTTGCCACCTCCTGTTTGACCACTTCTAATTTGCCTTGATTCATGGACCTAGCATTCCAGGTTCCTATGCAATATTGCTCTTTACAGCATCAGATTTTACTTCTCCACAACTGGGTGTTGTTTTTGCTTTGGCTCCATCTCTTCATTCTATCTGGAGTTATTTCTCCACTTTTCTCCTGTAGCATTTGCACCTACTGATCTGGGGAGTTCATCTTTCAGTGTCTTATCTTTTTGCCTTTTCATATTGTTCATGGGGTTCTCAAGGCAAGAATACTGAAGGGGTTTGCCATTCCCTCCTCCAGGGGACCATGTTTTGTCAGAACTCCCCACCATGTCCTGTCTGTCTTCAGTGGCCCTACACGGCATGGCTCATAGGCTTGAGTTAGACAAGGCTGTGATCCATGTAATCAGATTGGTTAGTTTTTTGTTATTGTGGTTTTCAGTCTATCAGAAACTCTAATTTTATTTCCTTAACAACTGGTTACAGGCAGACAACAAAATAGAGGCATGCTGCATTAACCATTTTCTAAGAATATTTCATTACATGGGGAAGCAAAATGTAGCAAAAGTCATGCTCAGAACTAACTTCAGAGGGTAATCCCACTGAGGGTGTCCAGAAGAATCTTTACTGAGATAGTGAGGAACTATGTCAGATGTTAACAAGGGTTTTTCTGGATTTGGGGATTAAAACATGTTTTAATATTTTTATACTTTTCACACATTTTTTATTTTTTATTTTTGCTGTGAATATATACTGATTAGGGAGAAAGTGATCTATTAAAACACCCGCAAGAGAGATGATGATAAAGCCTATTGTGGGGTGTTGTTGCCCAAGTTGGGGAAGAAGGCATCATGAAGAGGAGAGGCTGGGGGAAACCTGGAGCAGGTAGACACAGGTGGGATGAGTTGAGGTTGGCCCTGCATGGGGAACCCAGGCAGGGAGATTCCCAGTCATGATGAAGGGAAACTTGACATAGGGAGAAGGTACTTCATACTTGAGAAACCTTGCTTTGACATTTACTTTCTTTTTTAAATTGAGAGAGGTAAACACGGAGTTTTGCTTTTGTCTGCTTTTGTCCTTATCATTTGCTAATGGATTTTTGTAAGACTTTTGGCTCGACCACATTTATAGGTCAACCTTGGCCGCTCACTTGTTTTGTCCAAAGCCTGCACCTTCACTCTTGCTGAACCATCTGACCCCTAAAGGCACTGGAGTGTGTGATTGTGGAATGATCTCTCCAGGCTTAGGTTACCCCAGGTGGTTGTGATCAAAAAAGCTGAGTGCATAAAGTCCCAGGGCCAGGCAGGCCTGCCGTTTACTCAGGTTTTGCAAGATATGTTGGAAGATTTCAGTCCTTGCTGGCACAGACCAGCTGAGCAGGTACTCATATTTTTGTCTTTCAGGAAAGCGGATGTGCCTTGGAGAACAGTTGGCCAGAACTGAGTTGTTTATTTTCTTTACTTCACTTCTACAAAAATTTACCTTCAGGCCTCCCGAGAATGAAAAGTTGAGCCTGAAGTTCAGAGTGAGCTTGACCCTTGCCCCAGTCAGCCACCAGCTCTGTGCTGTTCCTCGGGGCTGAAGATATTGGGGTGGAGGAGTGAAGGAAAGCAGGAAGAATGAGCTTTCCCACACCACCCCAAGGCAGGGCACCTGCTCAGAAGTGAGGGGACAGCATCCAATGCCTCTAGGTACATCACAGGAACTAGACTCAGAGGAAACTGGAACCAAACCCCAGCTTTGCCATCTCTAGTGAGACCTTGAGCAAATCAGTTATGTTGTGAGTGATTTCATTTTCATTCAGAAGATTCAAGGTGGACAATGATTCCATCTCTAAAGGAAAAGCTACTATAAAGATCAGAGGAAATAATGGACTTTAAGTGGCTTGGAAACCATAAAGCACATCATAAAAGTCATACCTGTGATCTGCCTCCTCCCTACTTCCTTCCTTAGCTAGGTTTTGCTTCTGGTCTTTTGAGATGGCCTGGGACAAAGAGGTGCCACATGGTAGATAAAAGTTAGAAGTTGGGCCTGGGACAGCCATGGAGGTCAGCCAGAAAGGCCCTCACACTTGGTAGCCCTGGGCAAGCTTATCCTGCTTCTCCCTCAGACTGACCCCTGGGAAGTAGCAGGGCAGGTGGATTCCTGATTTGTCGACAGGTTTCTACGGAGAAACAGTTTATCTGGTTTATCTAAGGAAACACTACCTTGGACACCAGAACCAAGAAGAATGTCACCACAATAACCAAACATGGAAATCAGGGTAGGGGAAACAAATATGGAAATATTTTCTGCCATTACTGTGCCTCCTTACGTTAAATCCTCTCATGCATTTACTCCGAGCCCCATGACTGGTGTTAACAACATGATGGTTGTGATCTTTTTGTATATATTGATTGTCAGCTTTTGATTGACAAGTATTCCCAGCCTAAACACAACTGGTGAGCTCTGGTAAAGTATAGTATAGAAGGAAACAGAAATGCCATCATCCTGTTAGCCCTCCTGTGTGTGGTCACTGAGGGCAGAAAATAACATCAATGGAAAGGCCAGGTGCCACTGAGAGTCCCTGGAGTTTGGATGCCAGCCTCATGCAGACAAATAACACACCTAGTAAAATGGACTAATACTTATAGAAGGTTATTTTTCTCGAGTGTTAGAATTAAGAAATTTAAATATCTCAGAACAAAAGGCACTTGATGATATGGGCCTTTCATCCCTGTTTGCCAGGGATTCAGAGAAAAGCTAAATCATGGCACCATTAGAATCAGAAATAGGAAGAGAAAGCAAGAGAGAGGGAGTGAGAGAGTCTGGCTGGAGCTAGCCTGAGCCTGTCAGAGTCAAGAGTAAGTCTGGGAGAAATGGTTGCATGTCCTGAAGGGCAGGGAGATGATTTGCTCTAGAGTAGAAAATGAGAACTCCAGCTGCCCACCAGAGTGCACTTTCTCTGTATCCTCTTGAAAAGTTGCATCTCTAGAAAACACCCTAAATGATATTTCTGAAATGAAACCAATCAAACCAGACCTTGAACTTCCCGAGCATCTGAGCCCTTGTCATCTGCTGTGTTTTTCTGCCGTCAGATCATCCTCATAGGAGACTGAAAAATACTTTCCCTTATCTGCTCAGTCTCAACTGTTATATGAACTCTGTTGAATCATCTCCAAGGTCCATTCATGCTCTGCTGTGCATTTTCCATGATTTACTAGAATCATGTTTACTAGAGTCAGTAGGGCAGGCATTTACCTACTCCCTTTGGAATCAATGGAAAACTCCTGGACACTCATCCTGCCCTAATGATGCAGTGGGACCCAGACCCAAGTAACATGTGATCACAATTAACCAGAAAGCTACAGGACACAGGGCCAGGAGTGGCTGAATTTCTGAACTTGCAAAATGTCTCCTTTTTCCCTCAAAGCTCATATTTCAGAGACCCTTAAATATGAATTCTCTACTGTAAAAGCATTACACAAGGATTTTGTTTTCTGTCCTTTTGTAACTCTCTTATTCCTCATCTATTTTGGAAGCTCCAGGTCATCTTTCCCTCTTCCTTTGTGTCTGTCTCTGACACCTAATGTGCCAGCATATGACATGTTCTGTGACATCGTGGATGAGATGCAGATTTTACTGGAAAGCACCCAGGCTGTGAATATTCCCTTCACCCTTGTCCTCCCTTAGAGACACTGACACGCACAGGCTGCTGTGTTATTTAAAGTCAGGTTGGAGGCTGGCCTTTTACAAGGAGACGAGGAGCAGGGCATTCAGGATTCCCTGAGTTGCATAGAAACATATTCAGGTCAGGCATGACTGGAGGACATGCACCAAAGTGGGGGTCCAGCAGAGGAGCCACTTCCCACGCTTCTATGTGCTTACAGACAGGAGGCAGGAGCTGGCAGATGACTAAGAAACAAGGACAGCATCCTAGGTGAGTTTGCCCTGGGAACCTGAGAGCCTGCCTCCATGACAAGCTCTTCTCCCTGTGATCTAACTCAAACTTGCTTATTGCTAAGCTACCAAGAAGGAAGAAGGCGAGCACTGAGGATGAGTGTCCAAGGACATCGGTCCATGTCAATCATCCGAAATGCCAATGTATTTTCTCTTTTTAGCAAGATAACACTACTATGTTGCAAATTCCCACCCCCTCCTTCTTATAAGAAATTCAAGTCAATGCCTCCAGGAAGCAAATTATTGTTCATATTTAACATATTTTGTTTAATATATTAAATATTCATGTATAATCAATTAGATTTCAATTATATAGTATATAAACATATTTTATTGTGAATAAATATAAATGTAATATATATTAAATCAAGTAACAGTTTACTTTGCATATAATACCTTAAAGTATAGCTATAGTCTTAGAAAAGTACAACTTGCCAATAATGAACCAGGAAGAAATAGAAATTATGAACATGCCAGTCACAAGCACTGAAATTGAAGCTGTCATCTAGTAACAAACAAAAACCCAGGGCCAGATGGCTTCATAGGCAATTTCTATCAAACATTTAGAGAAGAGCTAACATATATCCTCCTCAAATTCTTCCCAAAACACTGCAGAGTGAGAAACACTCCCAAACTCACTCTATTAATATAAGGCCACCATCACCCTGGTACCAAACCAAGACAAGGATACCACCAAAAAAGAAAATTACAGGTCAATATCACTGATAAACATAGTTGTAAAATATCCTCAATAAAATACTAGCGAACAAAATCCAACAGCATATTAAAAGGATCATATACCATAATCAAGAGGGGTTTATCCCAGAAATGCAAGGATTATTCAATCAATGTGATACACCATATTAACAATCTGAAACATAAAAACCATATAATTTCAACAGATGCAGAAAAAGCTTTTGACAAAATTCAACATCCGGCTGATTCATGTCAATGTATGACAAAACCCACTACAATATTGTAAAGTAAGTAACCTCCAACTAATAAGAATAAATAAAAAAAAAAATTCAGCATCCATTTATGATAGCAACTCTCCAGATAAAAACTCTCCAGGGCATAGAAGCAACCTACCTCAACATAATAAAGGCCATACATGACAAACAAACCCACAGGAAACATTATTCTCAGAGGAAAAAAACTGAAAGCATTTCCTGTTAGATCAGAAATAAGACAATGGTGCCCACTCTCATCACTATTATTCAATATAGTTTTGGAAGTCCTAGCAATGGGAAGCAGGGGGAAAAAAGATATAAGAGGAATCCAGATAGAAAAAGATGTAAAACTCTAACTGGTGGCAGGTGACATGACACTATACACAAAAAATCCTAACGAAAATTACTAGAATTAATCAATGAATTTAATAACATCACAGGATATAAAATTAAACACAGAAATCCCTTGCAAACCTATAGACCAAAAATGAAAAATCAGAATGAAATTGTGGAAACAATTCCAATCACCATTGCAGCAAAAAGAAGAAAATATCTAAGAATAAACCTAAGTGCATGAGACAAGTGCTCGGGCCTGGTGCACTGGGAAGACCCAGAGGGATCGGGTGGAGAGGGAGGTGGGAGGGGGGACCGGGATGGGGAATACATGTAAATCCATGGCTAATTCATTTCAATGTATGATAAAAACCACTGCAATGATGTAAAGTAATTAGCCTCCAACTAATAAAAATAAATGGAAAAAAACAAAAAAATAAAAAAAATAAAAAAGAATAAACCTAAGGAGACAAAATACATGTTTGCAGAAAATTATAAGACACTGATGAAAGAAATAAAAGATGACATAAACAGTTGGAGATATATAGCATGTTCTTGGATCAGAAGACTCAACATTGTGAAAACAACTATACTACCCAAAGCAATCTACAGATTCGATGCAGTCATTTTTCACAGAACTAGAATAAAATTTTACCATTTGTGTAGAAACACAAAAGACTAGAAATACCCAAAGCAATCTTAAGAAAGAAAAATTGAGCTGGAGGAATCAGGCTCCCTGACTTCAGATTATATTACAAAGCTCAGTCATCATTATAGAATGGCACTAAAACAGAAATATAGATCAATGAAACAAGATAGAAAGCTCCAAGATAAACCCACTATGGGCACCTTAACTTTGACAATGGAGGCAAGAATATACAATGGAGAAAAGACAGACTCTTCACTAGGTGGTGCTAGAAAAACTAGACAGCTACATATAAAAGAATGAAACTAGGACACTTCCTAACACCATACACAAAAATAAACTGAATTAAAGATCTAAGTGTAAGGCCAGAAACTATAAATTTTTTAGAGGAAAAGCTAGATAGAACACTCTTTGACATAAATAGCAGCAGGATCCTTTTTGACCCATCTCATAGACTGATGGAAATAGAAATGGAATGTAATCCTACTTAAAACCTTTTGCACAACAAAGGAAATTATAAGCAAGATGAAAAGACAACCCCCAGAATGGGAGAAAATAATTGTAAATGAAGCAACTGACAAAGGATTACTCTCCAAAGTATACAATCAACTCATGCAACTCAATATCAGAAAAACAAGCAACCCAATCCAAAAAAAAGGCAAAATACCTAAACAGACATTTATCCAAAGAAGACATACAGATAACAAATAAACA